TCTCTATCTATCTATCTCTCTATCTCTCTATCTCTCTATCTCTCTATCTCTCTATCTATCTTTCTATCTATCTATCTATCTATCTATCTATCTATCTATCTATCTTTCTATTTATCTATCTTTCTATTTATCTATCTTTCTGTTTATCTATCTTTCTGTTTATCTATCTTTCTGTTTATCTATCTTTCTGTTTATCTATCTTCTTTATCTATCTTTCTGTTTATCTATCTTCTGTTTATCTATCTTTCTATTTATCTATCTTTCTATTTATCTATCTTTCTGTTTATCTATCTTTCTGTTTATCTATCTTTCTGTTTATCTATCTTTCTGTTTATCTATCTTTCTGTTTATCTATCTTTCTGTTTATCTATCTTTCTGTTTATCTATCTTTCTGTTTATCTATCTTCTGTTTATCTATCTTTCTATTTATCTATCTTTCTATTTATCTATCTTTCTATTTATCTATCTTTCTATTTATCTATCTTTCTTATTTATCTATCTTTCTATTTATCTATCTTTCTATTTATCTATCTTTCTATTTATCTATCTTTCTATTTATCTATCTTTCTATTTATCTATCTTTCTATTTATCTATCTTTCTATTTATCTATCTTTCTATTTATCTATCTTTCTATTTATCTATCTTTCTATTTATCTATCTTTCTATTTATCTATCTGTCTATTTATCTATCTGTCTATTTATCTATCTTTCTATTTATCTATCTTTCTATTTATCTATCTTTCTATTTATTCTATCTTTCTATTTATCTATCTATCTATCTATCTATATATCTATCTATCTATCTATCTATCTATCTATCTATCTATCTATCTATCTATCTATCTATACACATACATATACACATACATATTACATACATATATACATACATACATACATTTTATATATATATTATATATATATATTATATATATATATATATATATTTCTATTGGTAGTTCTGATAATCTCAACCGTGCAATGCCTACTCCTTGTACCAAAGAGCATATGGATGAAAATATAATGGCATATAAGCAAAGGTCTCGGCGCACGATTTGTGAAGGAGACTTTAAAAAAAATAATACTTTTTTCATAGTACGGTTTATTATTCATTTTTACCGTATACAGAGTACCATTTTACAATAAATTAAAATAACCGCACTTCTTCAATGAAACCAGCTCCTGATACCCGTTTTTTTATCATTATTTAATTCTTCTAAAATTATTTCTCAAATTGTTCCCAACTTGAGGATTAGTTTTTTTATTCGGTTTTTCTTTATTTCTTCCATGCACGGTCGTTATGTATGTATGGGTATGAATTATCAGAGAATAGTTTTAATGCTAGGTGTAAGAGAAGAGAAGCGCGAGAGCATAAGAGAGTGAAAGAGAGCGAAAGAGAGTGAAAGAGAGTGAAAGAGAGCGAAAAGAGTGAAAGAGAGCGAGAGTGAAAGAGAGAGAAAGAGAGTGAGAGAGCGAAAGAGAGTGAAAGAGAGCGAAAGAGAGTGAAAGAGAGCGAGAGAGCGAAAGAGAGCGAGAGAGCGAAAGAGAGCGAGAGAGCGAAAGGGAGCGAGAGAGCGAGAGAGCGAAAGGGAGCGATAGAGAGCGAAAGAGAGTGAAAGAGAGCGAAAGAGCGAGAGTGAAAGAGAGCGAAAGAGAGTGAAAGAGAGCGAGAGAGCGAAAGGGAGCGAGAGAGAGCGAAAGAGAGCGAAAGAGAGAGAGAGAGCGAGAGGGCGAAAGAGAGGAGAGAGCGAAAGAGAGCGAGAGAGCGAAAGAGAACGAGAGAGCGAAAGAGAGCGAGAGCGAAAGAGAGCGAGAGCGAAAGAGAGCGAGAGCGAAAGAGAAGCGAGAGAGCGAGAGAGCGAGAGCGAGAGCGAAAGAGAACGAGAGAACGAGAGAGCGAGAGAGCGAGAGAACGAGAGAGCGAGAGAGAACGAGAGAGCGAGAGAGAACGAGAGAACGAGAGAGCGAGAGAGAACGAGGAGCGAGCGCGAGCGAGAGCGAGAGAGAGAGAGCGAGTGTATTGTGCCGTGGGATTTTGGCCATTTTTTCCTCCTTAGTCAAGGTGTTCTCCCTTTCTCTCACGGTCTTACGAGGAGGGGGAGGAACTGCTCCCGGAGGCTCGAAGGCGCACTACGTTTCGGTCCGCGTTCTGCCACGTCTAGCAGCCCGTTCCCTCCAGGCCCGTCACGTTCTGATCGGGACACGTTTTCCCCGTTCTGTCACGGCTTTTCTACGTACGAAGCGTGGGCGTCGGGCAGCTTCGGAGCACGTATGTGGCCACGGTATAGAAGGAAGTCCTCCAAACCGATAGCCATCACTGCTCCAAAACTAGTGATGACCCTGGGAGCCCCTCCAGCAGGTGCTTCGTCGGGTTCCAGCTCCGGGTAACAGTTGCACTTGGCAGCAGCGGGTCGTCAGGCAGCCCCGGGACCTGCTCTTCTACTGGTGGTGGCGGTGGTGGTGCAGGCCGGGGACCCTCCTGCGGTCTGACCTTTCCGGTGCCGTAACATGGACCTGCTGTGACCTTCCTTGCCGGGCCTGGCTTCTTACCTCTTCCCAAGACCTTCCGCGCCGGGTCAGACCGTATTAGGACCGACCGTGAACCGTCACACGCCGGGAACCGCCGGGACGAAACGCGAAGAAACGGAAACCATGCACCCTAGCCTGCCGTGAGAACCGATGTAAATTTGGCAAAAACCTGATAAAACGCGCACTAAATGTGACGCACCGTAACAAAACTCGAAGGGACCGTGAGATGCCGGGGAATAAGCAGGCTTCCGTCACCAGCAAGGTTTGAGAAGGCCTACTACGTTTTGTTACGCTTTGGTGCGTTCATCCCGTTTTACTACGTTTTTTTTTTATCTTTTCTTCTTTTTTCCATCTGCACCGTGACTGCCGTATCAAATTTTCGGACATTCTAAGAACCTGACCCGACAATCACGGCCTGTCACGTTTTGCCGATCCGTTCTCCGGCGCTGCATCACGTTGCGTCACGCCCATCCCGTCTTGTCCACGGTGGCCTGAGGCGTGGTTGCCATGACCGCCAGGAATGCAACGTAAACCTAGCATAACATTTGGATGAATCTTTCAGAAAATACGCCTTTGATATTTACTTTACAGGTATTTAGGTAAAAGAATTTTTCATAAAAGTTTTGTCACTCCATCTCTCTTTCTCTTTCTCTTTCTTTCTTTCTTTCTTCTCACTCTCACACACACACACACACACACACACACTCACTCTCACTCTCACTCTCACTCTCACTCTCACTCTCACTCTCACTCTCACTCTCACTCTCACTCTCACTCTCACTCTCACTTCACTCTCACTCTCACTCTCACTCTCACTCTCATCTCACTCTCACTCTCACTCTCTCTCTCTCTCTCTCTCTCACTCTTGGGGAACCCTCTTTTGGACTGTTAAAGAACTCCAAATTGTCTGGAGGCGATCAGAGAAGCTAAGTGACTTCCCATAAGAGGAGGTGGCGTATGTACACGTATTTCCTACACAACAAAAGTACAGGAAGAAATATTACACTGTCTCCATGTCTCGATGGCCATTCAGACCCAGTGCCAGTGACCTATAGCCACGTGACCCATTCAGACCCAGTGCCAGTGACCTATAGCCACGTGACCCATTCAGACCCAGTGCCGTGACCTATAGCCACGTGGCCCATTCAAACCAAGTGCCAGTGACCTATAGCCACGTGACCCATTCAGACCCAGTGCCCGTGACCTACACTCTAAGGCACACCACCATGCCTCTTTATACCCTCGCGACTTACGTGCTGAGAGGTCAAAGCCACGCAACCTCGACCCGTGACCCGAGCTGGATCAGGCCGTCCCTCGGATCAGGTCGAACCCCCTCGCCTTATGCTAATGGCTCCTTATCCCTGATGCGGACCTAGACCACGTGTCCTCGCCTCACTCCCCCAGGACGCTGTCGACTCCCAAATACTTCAGCGAGAAAAAGTGGGATGAGCAGCGCGGGGTAAGTTTCCAGCCCAGCCTCCTGGTCTTACATAATTTCTCCATTCCGAGAGGTTGTTCTACTCTCACGCTCGCGTTTCGCTCTCTTAATCTCCTCCCTCCGTCCACCTCCCCCCTCTCTCTTCTTCTTCATCTCCCTCTCTCTCTCTCTCTCCATCTATCTATCTTTCTCTCTCTCTCTCTCTGTGTCTCTATCTATCTTTCTCTCTATCTATCTATCTTTCTCTCTATCTATCTTTCTTCTCTCTCTCTCTCTCTCTCATTCTCTCTTTCCATCTCTATCTCAATCTCTCTGGCTCCCTCATTCTCTCTGGCTCTCTCATTCTTTCTCTCGCTCTCATTTTTTTCTCTATCTATCTATCTATCTATTTATTTATCTATCTCATCTCTCTTTTTCATCTCTCTCTCTCGCATTCTTTCTTTCTCTCATTCTTTCTCGCTCTTCATTCTTTTTCTCTCCTTCATTCTTTCTCTCTCACTCTTCTTGTCTCTCTTTCTCTCTCTCTTTCTCTTTTTCTTTCTCTCTTCTTGTTCTCACTTTTCTCTCTTTTTCTTGTCTTTCTCTTTCTCTCTTGCTCTCTTTCTTGTCTCTCTCTCTTTTGTCTGTCGTCTGTCTCTGCCTGTCTGTCTGTCTCTCACTCCTACTTCTCTCTCTCACTCCTACTTCTCTCTCTCACTCTACACTTCCCTCTTTCACTCTATCCTTCCGTCGCTCTCTCTCACTCCTTCCTTCTCTCTCTCACTAATTTGTGTGAGGGTGAGTAGTGACGGGTCGAGGGTCTGCATTTTAGTGAGATTTCCATCCTTTATTTTTTTTTTACAAAGACAATCAGTATGCCGTGTGAAATCATCCGTTCTCCTAATCAGTACACAATCACTCTCCAATCACATGTGGAGCTGGAAATCGGGTATTCTTGCGGCCCGGTCTCTCGGTCCCGGCCTCTCTCTCAGCCCAGGACCGGTTCCAGGGAGGACCGAGCGCGTTGCGTCAGTGAGGTCCCGGCGGTCTGAGTCAGGGCACGTGGCGTGTGCGGACGTGCGCCTTCAGGTTGCTGGTGGTGTTGGTTCGGTAGCCGCAGAAGGAGCAGCAGTAGGGCTTCTCTCCCGTATGGGTCCTGAGGTGCTTCTTGAGGTCGTTGCTCCGCCGCGTCCGGTAGTCGCAGTGGGGGCACGCGAACAGGGAGTACTCCGTGTGTTGCTTCATGTGGCGGCTGAGGTCCGACTTGCTCGGGGTGGAGAAGCTGCACAGCACGCAGTTGTGGGCGGGGAAGGCGAGGTGGGCGGCGGCGGTCGAGGAGGTCGTGGGCGGAGGCTGCTGCTGCTGCTGGCTGGGTAGAGAGGGCGTCGCGAGGCCAAACATCCCCCTGCCCTCCGACATCTGCAAAGACACGCCTACGTTACTTGGAGTTCCTTGCAAGGCACCTGCGGGAGGCTGCGTGCGGGACCCTGGCTTGCTCCCTCGCTCCCGACGGCAGAGGGCCGGCCACGCCCCCCCGGCTCCTCCTGGTGAGCTGGCACCATCAAGTTACACTCAAAGGGGCTTTTGTCTCCTGGGAAGCGCTAATGAATGGCACAGTGCCAGATTAAGCGAGGCAATTGACAACACAACCGTCTGATGTTGGCGAGAATAGCACAGACAGGGACACCAGCAACAGCCGTTTTGATGGAAGGCAGTGATAGATTTGGTGGATTTAGCATTGACGTCAAATTGTAAGAGCAACTGAATTTTTTTTTCCTTTGTTCTTCTTTATACGCACACATGCACAACGATCCTTGCGCGAGAGAGAGAGAGAGAGAGAGAGAGAGAGAGAGAGAAAGAGAGAGAGAGAGAGAGAGAGAGAGAGAGAGAGAGAGAGAGAGAGAGAGAGAGGAAAGAGAAAGAGATAGGGGGGGGGGGAGCGTGTGCTCGCGCGCATCTACCTCCACAACCACAAGACCTAACACAGGGTCACACTCACACCCTCATATACACTCACACTACATAGAAGAAAATAAATAATATGTTTGTGTGTTCACGGAGGAAATATAATGAAACCCACACAAAATAGTGTTCTCTTTATTCCTAATCCACGATGAACATTCCAAACACAAGGATTATTTTACAAAAATAATATGGCATCCAAGAATAATCACAGGATATGGCCCTTGGCATCCTTCCTCAAAAATGAAAATATATACAGATTATATATATATTTATAAATAATTGAACTTACGTCATCACTTGAGGAACGAATGAAGAAGTTTTATTTCGTTTATCTTTCATTAAGCAAACCAATTTTCTTGATTTTTTTTCTCTGCTACAAATGCATTCAAACAAACCTTTTCAGTGTTGCCAGATATCCGTCATGTAACAGTGATGCCAACCCCGTGAAAATATGTCAATACAGCTCACTTTTACGGTCCGTTCAAAATCACTATATATGAGTATTAAATAAACTCTGCTCAAATTGATCCAAACAATGTTTTGTCACACGATGAATGATATATACACTGGAGGGGGGAGGGTGAGATAAAAGCAGAAATTCACAAGTATATTGCATATTAGTATACTGGTACTGGTGTTTGACGTGTGTGCCACTGTGGGAGGGTGAGTGTGTGAGTGCATGTTTGCGTGTTTGTGTGTGGTTTTGTTGTTTTTTTTTTTGTTTCTGTCTCTCTGTGCGTGCCATTGATGGCAGTGAGTCACGCAGGTCTGCTCTCCGTCTGCAAGCGGCAAGGTTCAGAGCGGCAGATGGCTCTCTCAAAAGGCAGGCGGCCCTCTCGAGCGGTGGGTGGCCCTTGCAGAGTGGCAGGTGGTCCTTCGAGCGGCGGACGGCCCTCTCAAACGGCAGGTGGTCCTCTCAGAGCGGCAGGTGGTCCTCCAGCCGGACCATGGCGTGCCTGGCCTTGAGGTGCGCCGACAGGTTGCTGGGGTCGCTGGTCTGGTAGGGGCAGTAGGTGCAGTGGTAGGGCTTCTCGCCCGTGTGCGTCCGCAGGTGCTTCTTCAGGTCGTGGCTGCGGTGGGTGCGGTAGTCGCAGTGCGGGCACAGGAACGGGTACCCGCCCGCGTGGCGCCGCATGTGCTGGCCCAGAACGAGGTTGCACGAGGTGGTGAAGCGGCAGACGGGGCACATGAGCGCCTCCACGCCGCCGCGCCCGGCCGCCGCCCCGCCAGCACGGCTCCCGACGCCGGCGGGGGCGGGGGCGGGCCGAGGCGCGGCGCCAGGGCGGGCGGTCGCCCCCTCAGCGACGCCGCGTCTGCCATCTGGAAAGACACGCACGCGTTACTTGCATGTTCTCAGGCGCCGAGGTCATGTCGGGTCACCGCTTAGGGCAACACATGACCTCCCTCCATCAACTCATCAAGGTAAGGCTTAGGCCAAGGTAGTAGAGCCTTGGTCGGGTGCGCCCGCAGGAGCACCGTCAAGGGTTTATGTGTCTTCCTTTAAGTCTGCCCCAGCCCGACACTTACAGGGAATCTCGAACCTTCCAATCTGCGCCCCAGAAACCAACAACTCAAGTGAAAAAGACCTTTCGAGGGGAGGGAGGAAGGCGAAACCCTAGCAAAGACTCTCAACACGTGAACTAGTAACATGACCATCAGCAACAGATCTGAAATATCACATCCTAATTGCGAATTTCCATATCGGAAGAGATAACAGAGAGCACATGCGTCTTTGGCGGAATGAAATAACGGCTATTTTCACGCACTGACTCAGAACCAACACAACAGTCGTCATACCATTTTAGTTTTACGCGAAAATCTATCAGGACAACCAGCGTGACACAGACAAGCCAACCAATAATAATCTAATGAAAATAATACGGTTTCAGGAGTACCAGCACTCAATCACGGTGAAAATAATGTGATGACAGACCAACCACTATCTTAAACCTAATTAGCACATATTTATATATTGTCCCCTGTAGCTTTTCGTGGATTTTGTTCCCGACAGATGGCTCCACATGCGCTCAGCCACCCTAAGGATCGCGCCTGACTTACCCATCCCTTGAAATGGCGGGAAAATTTGTTTTTCCCTTTATTGATACTGCTATTATCTTTCTGATAGTATGGTTATTAAATTGTTATTAAAATATCAATAACATTAAAGCCCATAAAGTAATACAAAAGAGGTATTCCAAATATCAAGGAAAAAGGTAAGCAGGTGGGATAGGTTGGGCTAATAACTGACGCCTTAGGAACTAATTACTTATATTGTGTAAATATAATTCTAGACAATGCATGTATTCTTGCCAAAAGGGGTGATTAGGTTAATACGGTGCTAGGCCTACTGCATTCCAAATACAGTGCATACACTACGGTATCTGGCCTACTCATACTAGAATGTCGTCTACCAATACTCAACTACGACAAAAAAAAAACAAAACAAACAACAAAAAATAATAATAATAATAATAACAATAATGTGATAGGCCTACCCGTCCAGAACTCCTAGGTTAAATATTACTTCGCTATGGATTTTGTACCTGAGCTACTATGACACTCTCAGTAGTAGTCTTTATACAAATGTGTATGAATATGAATATATATATAATATATATATATATATAATATATATATATATATATATATATAACAAATGTGTGTGTTATTATATATATATATATATATATATATATATATATATATATATATATATATATATATATATAAATGTGTATTTATATATATAATATAATATATATATATATATATAAATGTGTATTTATATATATATATATATATATATATAAATATATATATTATACAATGTGTATTTATATATATATATATATATAATATATATATACAATGTGTATTTATAATATATATATTACAAATGTGTATATATATATATATATATATATATATATATATATATATATATTATACAAATGTGTATTTATATATTATATATAATATATATATATATATATATATACAAATGTGTATTTATATATTATATATATATATATATAATATATTAAAATGTGTATTTATATATATATATATATATATATATATACAAATGTGTATTTATATATATATATAAATACACATTTGTTATAATATATATATATATATATATTATATATATTATATATATATACAAATGTGTGTATATATTATATTATATATATATTATATATATAATATATATATATTATATATACAAATGTGTGTATATATATATATATATATATATTATATATATATACAAATGTGTATTTATATATATATATATATATATATATATATATATATATATATACACNCATTCCCTGCCTCCCTTGTTCCTATTCTTTTACGTCCCCTTTTCTTCTTTTCTAAACGTGCTTCTTTCTTCCTCTCGTGTTCTGTCTTCCTTTTAACCTTGCCTCCATGCTCCTCCTTCTTCCTTCTTACGGTCTCCCTTCCTTCTTTCTCTAACCCTTCCTTCTTCCTGTCGCTGTTCCTCCCTTCCGTCATAAGCGTACTCCGTCACTCGGGTCCGGGCAGCCGGGGGCGACGCGGACGCGCCACGGCACAATAAACAAGCGGGTGTATGTCAGCACCAGCTGCGAAGCCCCCAAAGGCCCCGGGGGCAATATAATCAATAAGTCGGCGTGAACGGCGCTTATGTACGTTTATCAATCCATCCATCATCTGGTTCCGCTCTGGTGCACTTCTGCCCTGGCGCCGTGCCTCGCTTGGGCTCGGTGTCACGGGCGAGTGTGTGTGCAGTTGATTGGGCAGTTTATTGTGGACGCAGAGTTGCACAGGTACGCCCGCTCTCGCACGCGGACGCATTCGCACACGCACACGCGTAACACAGGCAACACGCACACGCACACGCACACGCACACACACGTACACACACACGCACACTCACCACACACGCAAGCACACACACACACACACACGCAACACGCCACACGCGTACACACACGCACGCACACACAACACACACACACACATACACTCACTCACTCACTCGCTCACATACACACGCACATACACCAACGAAAGAGACGCACGGAGTCAGATGTCGC